TCTGGCTTTTTAGGTAGAAACCAACCCGGCTAACGAGTGTCACTATCACACAATGTTTATCCAAATCCACTAAAATCTGAAACCATTTCATGAGAGTCTTTGGAGCAGAGCCGGATAGCTGTCGGACCCTGGTGGACGCTATGATTGGCCAGTCTGCGCTCGAAGGGGGCGGGACTTAGCGAAGGGTCAATCGGTTGCTGTGTTGGCTGAACTAATACCAAGTGATTTGTTAAATGGATTCTTAAGGTCAGTCCAGTCTCTACTGGTGTCGTGCCACTGCTGGGACGCTGCCTTACGTAATGTCACACACACTCTCTGACCTCTCACTTAAAGAACCTGGAACCCCCCCCTCCATCTGAGTGTGTGTGTGGATTACGTTTGTGTCCCCACTTACCCCTCTATTTATGACGTGTCTTTTGGCTTCAGGCCAGGTCCCCTCTCTCTCCGTCTTCATCGCTCTCCGTTTCGTTTTTTCTTAATGTCTCTTAGGACTTGATTGGCGGCGAATATTTCACGGGTGCTTTTTCCGCTGTGTCAGCGAAGTGACATCAGCCGCTGGAGAGCAAGAGAGGCGGCGGGGGGGGGGGGGGTGATAGAAGGACCTCGGAGACAGAAGAGAGATGGGTGGGCGAGCTTTTATCCTAATTACACCTGTTCTCCGACCGGACGGAGAGGAGCTGAGAAGACGAGACCGGGCACCGCGGGTGCTAAGTGATCAAAGTCGAGAAGAACTAAAAGCAAAGTTTGAAGACGGTCGGGTCAGAGCAGCGCAGCAGTGGGCTGGGTGGTGGTGTAGTCATCCACCTACAGTGTGACGAATGTTTTAAGCCAGAATTCTGCCGCTGTGATGCTGCACGCCAAAGGATTCCAAAGGGACACGAGAGGAAATATCACTTATATTGTGATGACGATTTAATAGGTGAGACCATAGACTGTATATAAGAAGTGGACGTAGTCGTCGTGATGTCACCTATTGGTTTGTTGACTTTTGTTATGAAGCCTCGAGTTTGGTGTTTTGGCCGTCGCCATCTTTGTTTTTTTGCTACCAGTTAACGGAAGTATGCTTCATCCTCTGGGGACCATGATTATCAAATCTAGGGGATTATTATCAGGAGTTCATCACATGCACACAGAAAGCTGGACCTCATTATGTGTATGGAGTCTCTGTGTGACTGATCTGACTTTTTATCTTTTTGAAATGAATAACGGCTGTTTTGATCTTGAAAGTTAACAACTCTCAAATGTTGATATCTGCCTTTAAGAATCCATCCCTGATGTGGTTCCTCTGCTCATAAATATGAACTACTAAGAGTAACTTTGGATTCACCGTCTCAGTTCCACGGGACGACTCTCTTGAACATCAGTGTGAAATATTGTCCTTGTTCTTTAAAAGTATTCACTTTAAAGTCTTTAACCTGAGACCTGCTCACATTTTCCTTTGCCCCTCCGCAATCAATGAGGAGAAAGTTGACCGATAGGATTGCTAATGACTCTCTCCGTCTGCGGATCCCTCTGTTTCTCTATTTAATGTAGTTCCCCCGCTGGTGTGGCCCCCCCGCTATGCTCCCGATACCTTCACGCTCTCCTGCTGCTGCTGCCGGTTGCTTTTAAAGAGTCTGAAACCTGTTCATCTATCCGAGGAGGTCATTGGAGCTGCGTGCTGTAATTACAGCTGGGACTATTTTTTTTAATGGCTGTTTATCTGCGCCGCTGCAGTTACTGTGGGGAAATTGGGGTCAATTACGTGATCCTCCAAAAAGACAATACGAGTGCGCTCTCCGTCCTCCGATGGCACGCGCTTTATTTTGACGGGTACATATGTGAATACAACTCATTGTTATACGAGTTCAAGCACTCGAGCACTGAGAGGTGCACGGCAGTCTGCAGAGGCAGCTTATTATCCACCAGTGCTTTCATTTTATATCATTGCTCCTGTCCCGGCATCCACTCCTTATTTACTTTGATTCTGCAGTGCAGTCACACGTTAGGACAGTGTGTGTGTGTGTGTGTGTGTGTGTGTGTGTGTCTGTGTGTGTGTGGGTGTGTATGTGTATGTGTGTGTGGAGAATTAGAGCTGAAGTAATTATCTTTTGTCTGACTTTGAGATTCAGACATCACTTTCCGTTCAAATCTGACCTTTTAAAACAAATATATCGCAGCGTAACTTTGGCCCAAGCTTCATTGCTGAAGGCCATATTGTGTCAGTAAGGTATTCTTTGTTTATCTTTGCAACCACTTAATTATAGAAACTTCTCCTAATCATAGTCGAGGGTATGTACAGTATGTGTATTTGCAGGCATGACGTCAGCTGCCATGTACTGTTAATTATTATTCAACCTGCAGCGGTTGTACGGCACAACGACACCAGATAGACTGCTGTGTCTATCTGGAAAGAGTAGTGCTTTGCTTTGTGTGTCAAAGCTCTTTGTAAACTCTGTTTTTAAAGGTGCTATTTGAATAAAGTAGTTATTATTAAGTAGAGGAGAGACAACACTGGATCTAACCCATCCTCAGCATTTAGCTGCTGTGAAGTGTTCAGGGAAGCAACTTTTTGGAGTTCAGCTTCTCGCTCGAGGACACTGGGACAGGCGGACAGGCGGACGGTAGCAGCCGGGGATCGAACAGCCGACCTCTGAGACTCAGCCGCCCCACAACAGAATGTTTGTTTAGCTATGCAGGAAACAATTAGCATTCAGATGAATAAAGATGAGCTGAAGACTCTGGCAGACTCAACGTAAACAGAACACCATGAGCTTCACCAGATACGTGTTTCTACAGGATCACGATGCTGGAAGATGTTTTATTCCTCTAAATGAACAACAGGTATTAGGAGTCTGAAAGGGGTTTCCTGTCCCCGTGTGGGGGATTCACTCCTTCATGTGACGCTGAAACAACAGTGAAACCCAGACAAATTAGTTTAAAAGATTCCCTCCATGTCGGTGAAAGTTAATTTTCCATATGGCTCACTAACTCTCATGAAATGGTTGTATTTTATATTTTCTTACTTTTTAAAAGTTAAAGCAGCAGAAGAATAACAAAAAAAGTACAAAGTATAAACACACATGAGCAATAGATTAACAAATATTAAGTATAGAAGAAGTAAAACAATAAGAGTGAGGTAAATAACTAAAGTTAAACTAAAAGACAAAGACAGCAGTAAAAATATACCCAATAAATTCATTCCACGTGATCTCAAATCCATGAAATCAACAGTGAGTTAATGAACGCACCACTTATCGATGGCAATACGCACACTGCATCTATCTATAGATCCGTATGTTTTAATCTTGAGATGCATTGTGCTGCTGCGTCACATTGTGAGATACGTTGGGACCGTCTTCAGTGTGAGACAGTAGAGTTATGAGAGTTATGACAGACAGCGGTGTGTGGCAGCGATCATGTAAACGGCTTCACCAAACTGTTTTTGTTTCTGTCTAATTAACAAAAAAACACCATCTGGCTGCAGATTTATGGAGCACTTCATTCACATCGTGCTGCAACATCCAGACGACACGATGACTTCCTGAGCAAACATCTTGGAGATCGGCTCGGTGATGGGACTGCTTTATTAATCCCCCGTTTTCCATGTTCACCGTCTTAGTTAAGCGTGTTAGCATGCTAACATAAGCTAATTAGCACTTTAAAAAAAAAGGCTGATGGGAATTGTATTAGTATTGCAGGTATTTGCTCATACTTTAATCTTTAAGATCCCCAAAACAGGGAGGATCTTTAAATATAAAGTCACCAGTTCTCATTCATTTCATTCGTTCTGCTTGAGTATTTCTTTCTCTTAGTCCGTCTCTCTCCGTCTCTCTCTGAAGACCCTTTCAGACACAACGGGACGTCGGCACCACTGCGCTCTGAAACCAATTATTTCCAACATCTTGTGTGTCGCCCTCCGACGGCTTTTTTGCCGCGTTGAGCAAAATCGCGTGCGCAGCGGCGTGGAGCTTTGGGGCGCTGCCCGCCGAGATCTGACCTTCACCCAGCGGCGACTCAAATTAGCTCAAACCGTTTTGTGTCTTTCGAGGCACGAGCACGCCGGGAAAAACGACATTAGTTAGTCATAGGGCCGTACAGGGCCACAAACAGGTTGTGATCATGAAAAGAGCTGGAAAAAAAGTGCGGAAATTTGTCATAATTTGGGAGAAATACAGGAGAATTGTGATCGGGAGAGGACAATAAAAGAACAGGCGTCTCCAGGCAAAATGTGTCATGCATAGTAGGTCAGATGGCACTAGATGAAGAGTTAGGAGATCACCAGTCATTGGGATTCATGGCGTGGATGTCTGTATCCGATTTCAGAGCAATCTATCCAGTGGGTATGGAGACGTTTCACTACTCAGTGTAGTTATATCTTTACATCTTTTGAGCCCTCTCGTGTCATGAAATCCTAAGATGAACAAAACTCCAGTCCTAAAGGAACAGGATCAAAAAGTAGAAAAGATGATTCGGGATCAGACTCTTAATAAAATGGACTGGATAGCGTGGGAATAAGGTCAGTGAGACATTGTACTGACTGAAAACGTATTTCTTTGCTCTCGCTAGACTCTAACGAGCTTCCTGAGTCGTTAGATTGTTGAACCCAGGTGGTGGATGATCGTGTTCAGGACAATCTGACTCGAACCCCTCTCGGTGTAAAGAGCTGACGTTTTGGGAAAGTGCCTCTTCAGAGGTGTTGGAAGTGAGCTAGCAGGAAGCAAGAAGGTTGTTCTGTGAAGAACTTCAGACATGGACACCATGTCGAGACTTCATCACCTGGAATAATACCACAGTACAGTCAAAAGCAGACAGTCGGATCGTGTTCATGTCTGGGGAAGAAGAGTTTCTCAAAAAGCCAATTTATCAAACCACAGTGATAACGAAGGTGGATGTCCATCTAGCGTGATACGTAGCGGGCGGAGTAATGCTTTAATGTATCTGAATTTAAAATATAAATAAACGTGCATTGCTCCCACTGTGACCTTTACCTCCCCTCTTCTCCCCCCCCCCCATCTCAGGCCCACCTTCCGTTACTTCACCTGGCACACCTGCGCACTGGGCATCGTGGGCTGCGCCGTCATGATGTTCCTCATCAACGCCATCTACGCCTCGGCCAGCATCGCCTTCATGCTGCTGCTGCTGCTGCTGATTCACTACCTCAGCCCCACCTCCAGCTGGGGCTACATCAGCCAGGCGCTCATCTTCCACCAGGTCTGACGCACGAGACGCCCACGCTCTCCATGTCGTTACGAGAGCGACTAAAATCTCATCCTCCCGTCGCTTTACAAGAGCTCAAACCTCTGCCAAGATGTCGTTCTATCCCGTTTATAGACACACACACACACATCCCTGTCTCTCTCTCTCAGCCAAACACTTTGCATTTAGCAGACAAACACTCTCCCGCAAACACACACACATCACTGCCTTGTCATTCCAACAGCAGCTATCTATCACATTTATATCAGGTCTTCCAGACACACACACACACACATACACATCAGCATCTCTCCCCTCAGCAGAGCTCTACATTTATTACCCTGACACACACACACACACAGCTTTACATCATCCTGCTCTCTGTGTCCTCTATTTAGCGAGCCTGTTGCTCTCAAGGAGAGGGGGGGGGGGGGACACGGCTGCCAGGAAGGGCCCGTTGCCAAGGCAGTGTTATGGGCGAGGGTGGGCTGGGTTTGCCAGCAGCTAGTCGGGAGGCAGAACATTATTACAACCACTTAACTTATTGAGCTTTTTCCTCCTCGTCCTCCTTTTCCCTCCTTCCCTTCATCTCCTCCTCCGTCCCTCAGCCCAAGACAAAGACAACACGTGTGCAAATGCGCCGACTGTGCATGTTGCAGCTCGTTTTCTTACTTATTTCCATGTCGGGATCAATACTTTACTTTAGATTCTTATGATGAAATTCTCTAGTGTCCACCAGGGGG